TCGAATGGTTATGCGAGCACTACATTTCTCCAATGCTTTCTACTCATACCAAAGTTTTCAGAACTAAAATTTGAGAATTATAAAGACAAAATTCTACAAAAAAAACAACGTATGCAATATCATAATTTTAACCCTAAAAATTTTAATTCAAAAAAAAAAAATTGTTGCCAGTTTTGTTATTCATATAGTTGATCAAATTCTGAAGTTTCTTGACCATAATTTAACTACTTGTAGGTTCCACAAAGGGGTGTGAAAATATAGTTTATCTTTAATTTTGCTGTTTTTCTTACATGAGTCATTGGTCTGTTTTTGGCCGAATTGATGAATTTTATTTTCGGTTGAGGGCCATGTATGATATTCTCTAAAGTTTGAACAAGCACTTTAATCTTCAACAGTAAAAAAAAAATCTTTATTTTATGGTACAATAATCTCATATGATCTTCTGCTCATAGCCGAAAAGAAAATTTGCTTAAGACCCCGACTGGTCCCTACGTCTTTTAATCTGCCATTGAAGCCTAAAGATGTGTACTTATGGAGTCAAAAAGGAAGATCGAACATGATTGCATTGTCCACTAGAGATTTATTTTCCAGCCTTTTTTTCTTTCCGCCCCGCATTTCAGTTTTCCATAGAAGCTTCACCAGACATCCACTTTTTTTCATGTTTCTCTTGGACAAAAAGGATGTCCTTCGATTAAAAATATGAGGGGCCTTAGAATCTTTATAGAAACCATGCAAGATGCAACTTAATTTTGATTTTCTTTCTATCAATACCTTTTTGTTCAAATATATCTTAATATGATAATGATTTGATTGCCTAATTAATCAGGGAAATCACTATTACCAAGCAAAGATCTTGAGTGGTACTTCTTTAGTCCCAGAGACCGTAAGTATCCCAATGGATCAAGGACTAATCGGGCAACGAAAGCCGGGTACTGGAAGGCCACCGGAAAAGACAGAAAAGTAAATTCCCAGGCGAGGGCTGTGGGCATGAAGAAAACCCTAGTTTACTACAGAGGGAGGGCACCCCATGGAGCTCGAACTGATTGGGTCATGCATGAATACCGCTTAGATGAACGAGAATGTGAAACCAACTCAGGCTTGCAGGTGCAACATAGTAAATTTCACTAGTAGTTTTTTTTTTTTTTTTGTTGGCCTTTTTGGGAATGCTAAAGTAAGAAATATGGCAACATTTCTTTTGATGGTTAAAACTTGTCATTTGTTTAATGGATATCTATTGGATTTTAACTTGTTCTTGTTTAAATTTTCCAGGATGCATATGCACTTTGTCGAGTATTCAAGAAGAGTTTAAACATTCCAAAAATTGGAGACCATTATGGAACTGCTACAGCTAGTGATCGCTCTTCTAGCATTGATCCATATTCAGAAGGAAGATGTGATGATCTAGAGAGCTTTGATTATTCAATGCCATCGGCTACAACTATTAACAACTTTAACTATCCAATGCAATCAGCTAGTTGCTCATCCAACATCATCCATGGTTCTCCATTGAATAACATCAATGAGGGACCTAGTGATAGTAGGTGGATGCAATACTTGTCAGATGAAGCATTTGGTTTTAGCAATCCATCATTTCCAAATCATGCAGCCATGTCATATCCCCCATCAAGGGTAATGTTCGAAATTGCTGATGTTGTACATTTTTCACGAAGATTTTTATTATTTCCAAATAGATCATTAGGAAAATTAGAGCCCATGTATAATTCTCTCTATGATACACGTTAATTCTTCAAGTCCTATGCATGTCTTTTTCCAACCCTCATTCCTTAATTATTGTAAAACTGTGACTCAGGTGGATATAGCATTGGAATGTGCAAGATTGCAGCACAGGTTCCCATTGTCACCTTTGGAGGTGCAAGATTTTCCCCAAGTTGGCTTTGCCGATGCTAGGATGCCACAACTGGGTTATATTCATGAAAACCCGAATCAGCAAGATATTGTAGAGGAGATCCTATCTGTTGCACAAGCTTCTCAGGATTTCATGAACGAAGACGCCTGGGGTGGAAATTATGCTCCTGCTGATGATTTCTCGTTTCTACCTCCTACCAACCAAATACATGATTCTAGTTCCTTCAAATTTATAGACAAATTAAGAGAAGATTGCAGTTTTAGGTCCATTGACATAGGCATGGATGAGGGGTTGAAATCTGAGAGAATGGTTGAGAACCTGAGATGGGTGGGAATGTCAGACAAGGATCTTGAGAAGGTACTATACATTGTCGTCCCCCCTCCGCTCCACGACAAATATGCTAGAATTAAATACCAATTATATTTTGTCGCTGAATTTTTGTCAACAAGAATTTATTTTTTTGTATTAATTGACAGTCTTTCTTGGAAGAATTCAAGACAGTCCCAATAGAAAGCATATCAACCTTCCAAAGAGAAGAGAATCAGGTTCCAGGTTGGCTTTTTCTTCCACGTTTCAATCCCCAATTATTTTGGTTCTATTTCTATTCATTAAATATTTAATTAGATGCCCTCTGGAATCTTGACTACTAAATGATTGCAGGAGAAACCGTCCACCAAAATGACCAGAATGAAGCAGAAAAGACTGATTATTCCCTTGGATTCAACAACGACAAGGGAAGTGACAACTTCTTAACTGATGGAGATGTGGAAGACTTCTCAAGTACTTCCAACTTTGAGGTTTATGAAAAGATAGAAGTCAGTCATGGGATGCTTATTTCGACTCGCCAAACAGCCAACACATTCTATCATCAATTGATGCCTTCAAAGACCGTTAGAGTCCATTTGCACCCCATGATCATGCATGATTTTCCAGTTGCGAAATCAGATTCCAGAACTGTACCAAAAACTGGACATTTTCCAGCCAAATTTTCGAGCTTTTCGAGTGCAATATCCAAATCCCTCAAGCCATGGAGGAAAACGGTGAGGACTTTTATAAGCATGATTGCCATTCTCAATGCTTACTGGATTTTTTATGGAGAATATTTGGAAGATAAAGAGCCAATGGATGATCCTGTAATGCTGAGCAACAAAGCTTCCGAGCTAATAGAGGGTGACTGTACAAGCAAGACCATGATCAAGACAATAAAAGTTCAAGATTATGAATTAAATTGCGAGAAATCCAGGGTTTCAATGGTGGGAAAAGGAGGCAGCATTAGTGCGGTTCACAACAAGATTTGGACTTATCTTACACTGACTTTGGCTCTCTGTACATTTTGGATGCACCAGATAGTGCCTAGCCCTTGACTTGGTTCTGAATATTGATTACTAACCACAATTGTGATTAGAAATTAAGGCATTAGTTGTCTTGACAGATATGCACTTTTTTCTTTGGTTTTTTATTTTTTGTTAAACAGTGGACCACACTTCATACTACTTTTTAAAGATGTAAGCTGACACATAAATTATGTGTAAGTTGATTCATAGTGATATAGCATTCTTATTTTTGTATTCAACTAAGGAATTAATGTTTCTATTCTTCTGAGTTTGCTGGAGTGAGAAGATAAGCTGTTTGAAGCCAAGAACAAACACATACTACACCTTTGCATAGCATATTCGAAAGCTCATATGCTATTTTTACTTTGATAAACCATTCACTAACTTCTGATCAAAGTAGACATGACATGGCCACTAAAGTTTAAAGTTTCAGGAAACTCCAATCCGGAATTAGTCCAAGCACTGAAAGTTGATCCTATCAAGTCTAACTATGCTAAATTCTCTTCTTACACGTACGCAGTAAAGTTGCTATGGTAAATTCTTGAAATGAGAAAAACGGTGCAATACTGGAATGATGGAAGAGACTGCACAATTTTTAGTCAATACTGGAAGAGACTGCGCAATTTTTAGTCTTACTAGCGGCTGGCAACCTTCCAGATCCGGCAAGCCAAAGCCCAGTATAAGGAATCCGTGTGTTACTAAAAGATTTTTTTATTAGAAGAATAATAATCCACTATGTGACTCCTGACAATATTTTTTTTCTCTTTTTTTTTTTTTTTGCGTACCATAAAAGGCCTGCAGCAAGAATTGTTAATAGGGTTGGGCCAATTTGATCTGACCCTTCCGGCCTTATAATTAGGGGGCGGGGCTAGCATTGTTTATGGGCTCAAAACATGAGTCTAATAGTAAAATGTGATGAGTTTGAATAACACTAAGCTTAGCTCATTATCAGACCAAGCCATGTATCTATATATGTTTAATATAAAAGATTATATAAAAGTGTTTATCAAATAAAATTGATATTCTTAAATAATTGCTCATTATGTAAAATTTTACTATTAGTTAAGAAATTAATAATAGTAATTATGATTAATCTCATTCTTAAAATTTTAACCGTTGATTCTATTTAATTAATATCTTTTATTTTTAGAAGAATACAATTTTTTAAATAAAAATTATTGAATTTGGGCAAGCCCGTTTGGAGCCCAAATCGAATGAGACAAAAGAGTTTGACTTGGGCAACAATATCGAAACCTTAATGGGCCAATGTTGAACCCGATTGTTATGATTCTAACTGGGCCTAAGTTTGGACATTTCGGAATGCAGTGCATTTAACCCAATTGTCAAGGCAAATTATAGCCTGCTAAATCAAAACTAACCTAAGAATGGAAAGTCCCATTACATCCGCAGCAGCAACAAGGACCTCAAACCCACTGTCAGGCTCCGAGCTAGCACTGCCACAATGGCTTCAATAGTCACCGGAAAAGATAACAGAAAGGGAGGAAAGAGAGAAAGGTAGGTATAGGAAGAGAGAGAGGGAATTAACAGAAAGAGGGAAATGTTGGAGTTTGTTGATTTCAGACAAATAAAATCCTAACTGCCTATTACAATCATTCGGTGGGTTATTTATGCAATTAAGCTGTAACCGCCTTTATTAACTACTAACTGTCACTTAGCTGAACGACACCATTTCTGGTGTCTGTGTCCTGCGCCTACCAAACGCTAAACAATGTGAATAAAACGACAATAGCTAACTTCTGAGTTCCTGACAATTCCTCCCCCTTAGGCAAAGCTTGTCCTCAAGCTTGGAATGCTGGAAACTGTTTGTCGATGAAGTCCTTGTCTTCCCAAGAAGCCTCGGATTCTGGTAGCTGATCCCACTTCACTAAGTACTGGATGACCACTTGAGAGTTACGCCTGATAGCTCTTCGTCTCAAGATTGCCTCAGGTTGAAGTAAGCATTGGTCAGAGGAGTCCCATGCAGGCAACATAGGGTCAGTGCCCTCAGCATCTCCAATTCTTTTCTTCAACAGCGAAACATGAAACACTGGATGAACCTTAGCTCCATCAGGTAACCGCAACCTATAGGCCACCGTCCCTACCTTGGCAATGATCTGGAAAGGTCCGTAGTATTTTGCTGTGAGTTTCAAACTCCTTCGAATAGCCACCGTTTGTTGTCTATAAGGTTGTAGTTTAAGAAACACCCAATCCCCCACTTGAAGTGTACGTTCAGACCTATGTCTGTCAGCAAAGAGTTTCATGCGGTTCTGTGCCTTTGCCAAATTCTCCTTGATGAGTGAGATGACCTGGAGCCTATCCTGCACCAGGTCAGTTGCAGCTGGAATAACACTGTCGTGGAAGGGTCCCAAAGGAATGTGGTTGGGCTTGTATCCATATAATGCCTCAAATGGAGTAATTTGTAAGCTGGTGTGGAAGTTGGTGTTGTACCATAGCTCAGCTGTGGGTAGCCATCTACTCCATTGAGAGGGGTGTTCACTGCACATACACCTAAGATAGTTTTCCAAGCATTGGTTCACTCGCTCACTCTGACCATCAGACTGGGGATGGTAGGATGAGCTATAATGCAGGCCAACTCCCAACAGATGGAACAACTCTTGCCAAAACCTGCTAACAAAAATTCTATCCCTATCTGAAATCACAGATTCTGGTAGTCCATGAAGCCTATAAATCTGGTCAAGGAAGACCTGAGCTACCTGTTGCGTAGTGAAAGGATGTGTGAGACGTATGAAGTGACTGAATTTTGTCAGTCGATCCACCACTACCAAGATAGTGTCAAAACCATGAGATAGGGGCAGCTGCTCAATGAAATCCATGGCTATGTGGGACCATGCCTGTTGTGGAACTGGAATAGGTTGCAAAAGTCCAGGATAGGGAACATTCTCATGCTTGTTCCTTTGAAATACATCACAAGACCTGACAAAAGTGACAACATCCTGCTTGAGCCCCGGCCAATAAAATAAAGTTTGTATCCTGTGTAGACATCCCCTTTGGCCAGAATGCCCCCTACTGCTGAGTCATGTAGAGCCTTGATCACCTTGCCACGAATACCATTAGCAGATCCTACGTATAGTCGATATTTAAACTTGAGCATTCCCCTATCCAAGTGATAGTCTGAGACTGCATTGGGGTCTAACAGGAGCTGAGCTATTTTCTGCTGAGCCTCATTATCCCCCTCATAGCTTGCAACCAATTCCTGCATCCATGTTGGTTGGACTGAGGAAATTGCACACATGGTACAATTTACTGCTATGTCCCCATGAGGGTCTTCAGTCCTCCTCCTGGATAGCGCATCTGCCACCTCATTGTCAGCTCCTTTTTTGTACTGGATTTCGTAGTCCAGCCCAAGTAATTTGGTGAGCCATTTATGTTGCAGGGGGTGCGTGAGCTTCTACTCCAGCAAGTGTTTGAGAGCTTGGTGATCAGTTTTGATGACAAAATGATGGCCCACCAAGTAGTGTTTCCATTTGGTCACGACTAGCACCAGAGCAAATAGCTCCTTCTCATAAACAGATAACCCCAAGTTCTGGCTGGATAGAGCTTTGTTGAGGAATGCTATAGGATGTCCATGTTGCATTAACACTGCTCCAATCCCTACTCCGCAAGCATCAGTCTCTATAACAAAAGGAATTTCAAAATCAGGCATACTGAGTACTGGGGTTGTGGTCATGGCTCTTTTGAGGTCTTCAAAAGCCATCTGAGCATGATGGTTCCGCCCAAAACTCTCCTTCTTCAATAGCTGAGTTAAAGGCTTGCAAATTACACCATACCCCTTTATAAATCTTCTGTAATATCCAGTCAACCCCAAGAATCCCCTTAATTCTTTAACTGAGTTAGGAGTGGGCCAAGACAGAATACACCCCACCTTATCTGGGTCCATGTTGACCCCAACCTCAGAAATCACATGCCCCAAATATTCCATGGATGTCTGAGCAAAAGAGTATTTTGACTTCTTACAGTATAACTGGTTATCCGCTAAGACCTGGAGTACAATTTTTAGGTGTTGTGCATGTGACTCTAGAGTGGGACTGTAGACCAGGATGTCATCAAAAAATGCCAATACGAATTTTCTCAGGAATGGCTGAAAAATCCTATTCATCAAAGCCTGAAATGTGGCTGGTGCGTTTGTTAGGCCAAAAGGCATTACTAGAAATTCAAAGTGCCCATGGTGTGTTTGGAAAGCAGTCTTGGGAGTGTCTGCTACCTTGACCCTCAACTGATGGTACCCAGCCCTGAGGTCCAACTTAGACATATACTTGGTGCCATGTAACTCATCTAGCAATTCATCAATATTGGGGATGGGAAATCTATCCTTGACAGTCACCTCATTTAGCTTCCTGTAATCTATACATAGTCTCCAAGTACTATCTTTCTTTTTAACCAACAAGACAGGGGAAGCAAAAGGACTAGTACTGTGTTTAACAATCCCATTCGTAAGCATTTCTACAACCTGCTTCTCAATTTCTGCTTTATGGGAGTGGGGGTACCTGTAAGGCTTGAGTTTAAATGGTTCTGCCCCTGGTTTGAGAGGGATTTGGTGATCCAGCTCCCTTTCTGGAGGCAGTCCCGTTGGAGTAGCAAATATCTGTGGAAACTGCTGTAAAACTTGTTCCACTAGCTCTGGGATGTCTTTCTGAAGGTCTTTGGTGGAGTTCGCCTGCAGGTGTGCACAGCTCCTCTTTTTTTCTTGGATGAAGGATCTGAGATCCTTTCTCCTCACAAGCTCCATCGTAGGTTGATTTATGAACCCTTGGAGGTGAAGTAATTGCCCTCGATCACTGAGTGCGATACTGAGAGTGTGGAAGTCAAAGGTGATTGGACTGAACTGACACATCCAATCAACTCCCAGGATGATATCCCAATTTCCTAGTTCCATTATCTTCATGTCAAACTGAAATTGGTAGTCTTGTATCCTCCAAGCTACTTTAGGACAGGCTGTCCCACTGGTGATGTCTGTCCCATTCGGTAAAGTCACAGTAAAAGGATTCACAGATTGATAAGGTAAGTGCAGTAAGGTAACAAGTCTATGGTTGATGAAACTGTCAGAACTCCCGGTGTCCACTAGTATTTTGATTGGTAAGCCACCAATACTGCCAATCAGCATGATGGACTTCCTCTGAATAGCACCAGACAAGGCATTCAATGATACTTCAGCCATCTCCCCAACTCTACCAGTAAACTCATCCTGTTCCCCCACTGCATCCTCAAAATCAGTCTCCTCTTCTTCTTCCACACTAAGGCAGTTCAGACCTTTTGTCCTACACTGATGCCCCAACCCAAACTTCTCTCCACACCTGTAGCACAGGTTATTTTTGCGCCTGTACTGCAGCTCTTATGCTGAAAGTCTTCCTACCTCCTTGTGTGCATTTTCAGTCCTCTTAGTGTTAGGAGTTATCGCAGGCAGCCTGTAAGAACTAGGTAAGTTCTGCCCACCAAATTGGCCCTTGTACATCCCAAACTTAGGCTCCATGGCAATCCTGCCAGAATTTTTGGTCTGCTTACATTGCACCGCCAGTGCATACTCTTGCAACTCTGCTACCTCAAATGCTTTGGTCTAAACATCTTTACCATGGGCTTGATCTCCTCTTTCAACCCACTGATAAAGCTGGAAACAAAATAGGACTCATCTAATCTGGGGTTCTTGGTCAACATCAGAGTTTTTAATTCCTCAAATTTTTCCTCATACTCCTCCACTGTCCCCACTTGTTGCAGTTTGTTAAATTCTTCTACTATGTCAAGTGACCCCTTTCCAGAGAAACGCTCACATAGCAACTCACTAAACTCTTCCCAATTTAGCCCAGGTTTAGCTAATTTCACCCCTTGGAATCAATTATCGGCTTTGCCTTCTAAGAACATCTCCACTAAATCTACTTTCTAGCAAGCAGGTATTTGGTAGTTCAAAAAATATTTATGATATTTCCTAAGCCATTCCCTTGGATTCCCTGCCGTAAACATCGGCAAATCTAATCTAGGCACATTGGGAGTAAACATCCTACCTCTGGATTCCTGCTGATGGCCTGCCATTTCAGCCTGAGCCGCCAGTCGGAAATGCGAGGGTGGTGTAGGTAGAAGAGGTTCGGAGGATCCTCCTTCGTTCTCCTGAACTCCCTTGTCCTTCATCATCACTTTCATTAACACGCTGAACTTTTGCTCCAACTTGCAGAATTTCTGGTCCAGATTTCCCACCACCGTCTCCAGTCTCGAGTTGCTCTTCTCCATTTCCTCCTGGAGTCTCTGCCGTAACTCATTCTGCCCGGACGTATGCAGAGCGGCCATGGATTCGGCCAATTCCTGGAGCTTACTCTCTTGTTTCTTCAGCTGATCTTCCAAGGATCGGTATCTCGTGCCTTCCGCCATGGCAGTCCTTCTTCCTTAGCAGCCAAGGATCGGCTGTTCTGATACCAACTGTCAGGCTCTGAGCTAGCACTGCCACAATGGCTTCAATAGTCACCGGAAAAGATAACAGAAAGGGAAGAAAGAGAGAAAAGTAGGTATAGGAAGAGAGAGAGGGAATTAACAGAAAGAGGGAAATGTTGGAGTTTGTTGATTTCAAACAAATAAAATCCTAACTGCCTATTACAATCATTCGGTGGGTTATTTATGCAATTAAGCTGTAACCGCCTTTATTAACTACTAACTGTCACTTAGCTGAACGACACCGTTTTTGGTGTCTGTGTCCTGCGCCTACCAAACGCTAAACAATGTGAATAAAACGACAATAGCTAACTTCTGAGTTCCTGACACCCACTCGCCGTCCTAGGTGAGTTGGGCGTAGGGTAAAAAGATAAGGTACTGGTCTGATTGCAGGTTAGGATTTCAAATCTCTGCGGTTCCAAAAATTATATACGTAGTGCACTCTTTTGATTTAGAAGTGAAAACCGTTCCTTTAACTCCCCTAGTCCAGTTAGACTTCCCTTACTTAGATTAAGGTTAGAGAAGTTTAGAACTTAAAAAGGAAGGGCTTCAAAGCTTGTAGTGGTTCTTCAGAGTTTCAGGATGGCTTCTAGATTCAACCTTTTCATGGGTATTGATTTCCACTGTTACTTTGCGTGGCTGTCAAAATTTACACTTGTCTGTGATTTCCAGTTGGAACTTTAGTTTACAAAATTTTAGAAGTGCACCTAGGCTCAATATAATAGTTGAGTTAAACTTTGATCCAAAGGCTAAACATAGCACTTAATATATACTACGGGTTCTTTTATCTCTGAAATAAATATAGGTCAAATATCCCTCAAAATATATAAACACAAGAGCAAATTATCCGGTTGACCACTAAACTTTTACGATCGTTGAGTTTTGGTCACTCAACTATTAAAAGTCTGGTTTTGGCCACTAAAATGTATAAAGTTAAGACACGAGGCCATTCTGTTAGATTTAGCCGTTAAGTTCTCAGATCTGTCTGTCCGCACGATTTCCAAGACAAAAGAAAGGGTCAATATGGGAAGTTGAAAATAGCACTTGCACCTCTTGAAAAACAAAAAGTTTAGGAGGGTACTCTGAGCTTCCTCTCGAACAAACTGAAGCTCCCATCCTCACAATGGATCCAACAGCTGGCCTTCATTTGACATTGAAATTGAAGAAGTAGTTGACCCAAAGGACGAGCTACTCTCTAATACCAACGATTCCGGCACAGCCCCACTGATTTCCTTAGCCTCAGCACCATTATTACTCATGCTTTCAGCTGGATTCTCCAAGGCTGCATTACAATCCGATCTACCCAAAATATCCAAACCCATTAGTCCCTGACCCAAACCAGCAGCATCAGCAGACTGACCCCTCTAAACAATCTTCGTGTTATTCAGAGCATCAGAAAACCACGAGTCAACTTTCGGATCAAGAAGCGCTGAACTCGGAAACTCTGGCTTTATGGGGAAGAGAAATAATCTGATGCAGGATGGTGTAGGGGATGTAACGGCGGAGATGCAGTCGTGCTCTTCCAGCATATTCTGGAGGTCGTGATCAGTGGTGACGGAGATGAGTGAATCGAGGTCCTCATTTGGGAGCTGGACTTCAGATGAAACGGGCGGTTGCCGAAGAGGGTCCGGGAGAGGTGGGTGGTGAGGGCATAAATGGATGAGCAGTCCATGAACAAATTCGCCGATCTTGCTCTTTTTTTTTTGTTCCTTAATAATTAAATTTGGGCTAGCATAGATAGTAGATTGAAAGACTGGATATCTCACTATTATCGATCGTCCCTCTTCTTCCTTTTTTTTTTGTTTTTGGTTTTTGGGGTGCCGGTGGTTCATCTGCACTCCCTGTGTAGGTTATGGTTGAAAACTAGGTGGTGATAATGACTCAGCAGCCGACCCTGTGACACATCGCTATTGCCCAATTCTATTGAAATTAATTCAATTAGAAGACCAATCCATTGCCTTTCACTGCTTTGTTGTTGTCGTTGTAGCAACTACTACTAAATTATCCCTAACAAAGTGATGCGGTATGGTGCCTGGACTAAATTATTCCTAAATTGACCCTTTCTTTTGTCTTGAAAATCGTGCGAACAGACAGATCAGAGAACTTAACGGCTAAATCTAACAGAATGGCCTCGTGTCTTAACTTTATACATTTTAGTGGCCAAAATCAGACTTTTAATAGTTGAGTGATCAAAACTCAACGATCGTAAAAGTTTAGTGGCCAACCGGATAATTTGCTCTAAACACAATCACCAAGTTTTGGATACAAAGTACAAGAATTCACGAGGCAAAAAACTTTGGGTATGAAGTGCAAGCAGTACTAGCTCCAGCTCTGCACGCATTCATGCTGCCACAACTATTCAGCATATGAACTGAAAGCAATAGACATTCTCTTTCAACTTTTGAATGTGGTATAAACGTGCCTGTAGCCCAAAGTAAATCATCATTTAAAATGTTTTCTTGCCTTTCTGGCATTTACTTAGAAAGCAAAAAGAAAAGTACAATAACTGCACACAGAAACAAACTTCCATTCCATCAACTGTAATAGACAAACAGTATTGGTGATGGGCAAAATTTCGAGATACAGGAGAAAAAGAAAAAGGTTAGCGCGTACAAACTTTTTCTAGCTAGGCTGCCATTGGGATGAGGAGGAATGGTTACTGGTTTTTACTGCTGAAGTTGTTAGTGCATGGGCCATGGTGGGGATGCGTGCAAAGTGCATACTGCTCAGATAGGAATTTTGTGTGCAACCAACAGCAAGCGCTGCAAGCAAACAGATGAAGAGAAGATGACAAACAGCACCAAGCAAAAATTCGTTCACGGGCCAGCATAGAGTTTTTAAGTTTTAACCACTACAACCGGCGGTAGTAATTGACACTACTATTCCTCCATTACACATGCATGCCAATAACCCCAAGTCCTTTTTAAGAAGTCAAATCATTCACGCCCAGCTTCAACTGTTTTCTGTCCCACCTTATGTATATATAGTGTATGGACAAGTTGCTAATGGAGTCCCTCGTATTTTCAAAGAATCTCAATTTAGTCTGGAACATCTAAAATGATGCAGTTTGACATATATAATTGGTTGTGATTCTTTTTTTTAACCTTCTTATTAAGCGACCTTCTATCACAGATCATGTGCTACTGTGAACCATTACACAGAAATCTGTGTGAATCTGACAGAAGATGCCCGTAGCTATCAGTAATCACTATTCACCCTCTAGCACAAGTCATACAAGAATTTTCATCTCTTTAAACCGAAAACACATCTATAATGTAGACCAACTTGGTACGGCTTATTAATTACAGACTTTGTAATGCTTCATTTTATTTACAAGGGACTAAATACAGATTTATCAAAATATGGGGGGGGGGACTACTTTTGCAATTTGCCCTGTACATGTAAACAAGTGTCTGTGCTCATACCAAAACTTGCAAATATCTCTTACTCCGTATTCTTTAAGATGCCGAGCTGAGGGCAAAGAAACTTGCTTTATTACAACCTTTTTCTCCTTTATAAGTAGTGCATGATTCATAAAGGGGCTATGATTCTACAAGCTTTTTGTTAGCTAGCGTAGGGGTTCACTTGTGTCATACAACAATGTCTTCACCGTCACATTCTTCTTCAACTTGTTCTTTCTGGAGTACTTTACTGCATTCCTTCTTGCTCTTGGCTTGGTTCTGTTCTTCTGCATTTCTTCAAGTTTCGAACGCTGCAAGTCCTAGTGTCAATGTCGCCAATGTCTCCCAGGTGGAGGATGCTGCATACTTTCATCTATATTATGGCAACAGTTTCAAAGTCATCAAGAACGGATTAGATGGCCAGAGTTATCTTCTCATTCAGGTGATTAAAGTCCTCATTGCAATGTATCATTTGCTCTTTTATGATGCCAAATTATATTCACTAAAACCATGAAAGATATACCATTTCTTCCTGATTGGTATAATGGAAAATAAATAGGTACTCATTAATTACTTGCTGATTGAACATTAATTTTTTTTTTCCTGAAAAAGAAAATTTCCATATTGATATATGGAATCGAGTTGTCTTGCATCCTGATTGTTAGCTGAAAGGATTGGTGCAGCAGCAATCGGCCGTAACCTTTATCGCTTCTACAAGTTGTGGACCTCTAGTTGTTGATGGGAAGGCTTGCGATATCACGGTTCAATGGCTGTCTCTTTCAAATAATGAAATGAAACACCATGTCAAAATTGTCAACCTTCTTTTTTTTGGCTTTTTTCCCCCTTTTCTCTTATTTTGCACATTTTCACATATCAATCTTTCTTTAAATTTGATAATTAAATTGCGTATGACACCACTTCTGAGTTCTACTAATAAATCGAAGTATGCATCTTTTTTAAAAAATGGATGGGGGTAGTACTTCATTTCTTCCCTAGCAAATGATACAATACAACACTTATAAAATAACTTATTCGAACAATAAAACTACATTTTATTTTTATTACTTGGTTTGGAGTTTACTGAAAGAAAAAATAAAAGGTGCCCAAAAGAAAAGGGAAAAAAAAAGAAATAAGCTTTTGTTCTCTATGTGTGAAACCATTGCAATTTGTTCCATTAAAGACCATTCGGTTTAAACAAGGAGTTATCAGTAATTTGCCCTTGAATTATTTGCTTGCTATTGGGGTTTTTCTGCTTCGAATTTATCGTACGTTGTCTCCTGCATAATTCTTACATGATTGCCTGCAGAAAAATACAAGGATGGCAGCTAGAACAAAATATTGCACGCCCAGAATAAGATCATTCATCATCCCATTGTCAAACTATTCAGTCGATACTGTACTTTTTCCAGGTATAATCGACACTGACAATGTTTTTTTTTTTTTTTAATTCTTTCTTTTTGTAAGTTTATTACTTGCTTGTCATTTGTTTCTGAAAGTCTCATTTCTTGTTTTCCTAATTTACAGTTTCTTTCTTTGAGGTGA